GGGGTTTCACCATGTTGACCAGGATGGTCTCGATCTCTTGACCTCGTGATCCACCCACCTCGGCCTCCCAAAGTGCTGGGATTACAGGCGTGAGCCACCACGCCTGGCCTGGTGCCATATTTTACTATTTATTTATTTATTTATTTTTGAGATGGAGACTCACTCTGTTGCCCACGCTGGAGTGCTGTGGTGCGATCTCTGCTATGCAACCTCCACTCCCGGGTTCAAGCAGTTCTCCTGCTTCAGCCTCCCAAGTAGCTGGGACTACAGGCAACCACCACCACGCCTGGCTAATGTTTGTATTTTTAGTAGAGACGGGGCTTCACCATGTTGGCCAGGCTGGTCTCGAACTCCTGACCTCAAGTGATCCGCCCACCTCGGCCTCCCAAAGTCCTGGGATTACAGGTGTAAGCCACCTCGCCCGGCCTGGTGCCATGTGTTAGAGCAGGGTTTCTCACCTTGGGCTCCGTTGGCACTGGAGTCCTGTCATTCCTTGCTGTGGTGCTGCCCTGGGCACAGCAGGATATTGGGCGGTGTCCCTGGTCTCCACCTGCAGAGTCAGGAGTACCTCCCTGCTAGTTGTGACAAGCAAAAATGTCTCCAGACAGAACCTAATGTCCCTTGAGCAGCAAAATCCCCCCATGTTGAGAACCACTGCCCTGGCACCCGGCCCTCCTAGCGCCAGGCGCCCCATCGCTATCAAAGGTTCAGGCTCATTAGGAAGCCGGCAGAAGGCTCCAGTCCCAGTGGATATTCACCGTGGTCTCCTTGGTGGGCGAACGGTAGAAACCTTAACATCCTGGATCTGAGGGGCAGGAGGGGACCAGAGACCACCCAGAAAGGGCCATGAAAGGAAGCTGGGAGGGGAAGGCTTTGCAAAGCATGCTCTGAGATGTGCAGGACTTGAGCGGCTTGGCAGCCTCTCCATGGTGCCCATTCACAGCTCGGCAAGGGTGGACTGGGTAGAACCACCTCCCCTCTCTCCTTCCCCCAGGAACCTGGAGGGCACGCCGTTGGGGGGTCCAACCCTCCACACCCCTGCAGGGAAGGGAAGCTCCCTCTCTGACTAGATTCCTCTTCCTCCCCTTCTCTTCTGCTCTTAGGGGAAGGGCAAGGCGGGGCGCCTTACTGGGATTGGGAGAGGCTGTGCTGACCGAGGCCCCTTGTGTTTTTCTTGTGTCTGTTCTCAGCTGAGATCAATTTGCTTTCCAGTTTGTGGCAGCAGGAAAGTCACCCTGCCCCTGCCCCTGCCCTGTGTCTTGGTCTGGCCGCAGGCCCCTCCCAGCCCCCTTGCCTCCTGGGGTCCCGCCCCAGTCTGGCTTTGAGATGCCATCTCCAGCTTCTAGACCGCCCAGCCCTCCAGCCTCTGGCTCCCTCCTCCCAGCCCCCAACGTCAACCCCATGCCTGCCCTGTCCAAGGCTCCCCCACGGTGGCTGTCCCCGGCTGTGCCACCCAGTCTGCCCGTAGTATTTGTGCAGAACCTCCTTGACGCACGCAGTGCACGAGGCTCCACGGGAGCTACTGAGAGGTTTGGCCAAGAAGAGAGGAGCCCTGTGAAGGGAGGTCGGTGGGGGCCAGTCATGAAGGGCATCCCTGTGGCTCTGACTGTGAGGGCAGCAGTGCTGTGGAGAGAGGAGACGAGAGAGGCAGGCACTCGTTCCCAGTGTGGGTTAACTTGGGTCAAGTTAACAGGACAGGGTGTGCAGCCCACGGATGGCAGAGTCCTTAGCCCCAGGCCCCTGTCTGTTTTGGCTGTAGGGCTGCTGGCCCCTGGTCACCTGGCTTCTTGACCCTCAGACAGTCCTGCTCACCTTCCAGGCCCAACCTTGTCTCCCTGGACCTGGGCTTCAACGACCTGACGGACCTGCAGAGCATGCTTGCCAGCCTGAGGACCCTCCGGCACCTGCGGCTGCTGGTGCTGCAGGGAAACCCGCTGGCCCTGGTGCCCTACTACCGCGGCCTCACTGTCGACAGCCTGGCCCAGCTCTGCGTGCTGGACGACATCACCGTGTCTCCCAACGAGAAGCATCTGTTCCGGGGCCTCAGCCTCAATGCCGGTGAGGGTGCCAGCGTGCAGGGAGGGGTGGCACGTGACAGCCCAGCCTCCGCCTGGCTGTGCCCTGCCCTCCTGGGTCTGTGCACCCATCTTTCCTGTAGCTCCCCATCTGACCCAGACCCTAGTCAGGTGTAGCCTCTCTTCCGGGTCAGACCTTTCCCCAGGCTTTGATTCCTGTGATTGGGATTTGGGGACAGAAGTGGTAGTGGGAGGCTGGGCGCAGTGGCTCACACCTGCAGTCGTAGCACTTTGGGAGGCTGAAGCGATCACTCTTTGGGATCCTTTGAAGTCAGGAGTTCAGCACCAGCCTGGCCAACAAGTATCTCGTCTCTACTAAAAATACAAAAATTAGCCGGGTATGGTGGCGGGTACCTGTAATCCCAGCTACTCGGGAGGCTGAGGCATGAGAATCTCTTGAACTCAGGAGATGAAGGTTGCAATGAGCTGAGATAATGCCACTGCACTCCAGCCTGGGTGACAGAATGAGACTCTGTCTCAAAAAAAAAAGAAAGTGGTGGGGGCAGATCACTTGAGCTGAGAGGCGGAGGCTGCAGTGAGCTATCATCTCACCACTGCACTCCTCCCTGGCCATAGA